TATATATATATATATATATATATATATATATATATATATATATATATATATATATATATATATATATATATATATATATATATATATATATTACGAGAACGCGCTATGCAACACGCGCTATGCAACACGCGCTATGCAACAAAGGCTTATGAGAACGCGCTATGCAGTTCGAATTTCATTAAATCATTAAATCGCCATTTTCCTGCAATTTAGGCCTACTACTTAATTTGGAAAATTGTAAGCCATGGCCAAGGGGTCATTCCTCGAACACTTTTAATCACAGTTTATTATTTTGTATTTCAATCCGTTAAGAGTATTTTAGGATATTAAAGTTTCGACAGGGTAGAATGACGAGCATGTTGGCTTAGTCTCTGTCATTACATGACAACTGACAAGGTAAATTCCCTCGTGAGAAAAGTAAAATTCGCGGCTTAGCCATATAAACTGTAATATAGTATGAGATTGTCCCATTTCTAGTACCTCATTTCCAAACTTGGCACTGGCATTTCTACCCCTATGACATTAATGAACGTTTTTCCTATGTTTAACTCTATCAGTACTTCTTACCTTATTCCATGCTTGTTTCATATATTTTGTTCTATTTGCTGCAGTTTTCTGTATATTTGTATTAATATATTCTGTAATGTGATTTACATTTTTTGTTTATACTTTTTGTTTTGACCAAATGCATCCGATTGATTTATTTTTTGCAATGTCATCGCTTTATATTCTTAGTCTAAAAGCTCATGTACTTTTCCCGACCCCCGCTGGTAACTCCAGAGGAAGGGCCTTCGACCAAAACGTCGAAATTCTCCTTATATTTTTCAGGTAGTTGCATTCCTAACAACGTAAGCTGCTTGTTCCGCATATTTTCGAACTGTGCAGTTTTTTTATACACCATGCATCTCGTTACGACATAATTTGATCAAAGGAATTGAAAGAAATTAAGTTATTAATCTTTAGAAGATTAATATTTAATTTGTGTTAAAACATTTATAATTTAGATGTGACAGGTCGATCTTGAAGAAACGCATCATAAGTCTTCACTTGGTAAATCAAACCAACACGTGTCGTCGCCTTCTAATAGATAAATCCCTAGTAATTATCCTGAATCTTGCAAGGAATGACCATGCTTCGACGGAAAGTGTACTTTTTATTTTTTGTTTCTGCAGCGATTGTTATCCTATACGGCTTTATCTGGACAAAATCTGTTGTGAATAACAGTTATAACGCTCCACCTGAGAAGGAGGAATCAGGTATCCATGTGATAACTAACTATCCGCTGATGACTGAAAAACCTTGGAACGAAGGCCAAACAGACACCAACAGATCCAGACTATGGCAAAGACAGGAAGAAATAGAAGAAACATTACAGAAAAATCTCAACCACACTTTAGTCACAGCTGTTCATCTTCTCGTTGATCAACCGTCAGCCGAACAAAGATTGAGCGAACAAAATTTTCATAACAAACACAAAATATTTGTACATCGCATCAACGCCTTGCCGAAATACAGAGATTTCTTCGATTACGTAAACGACAGACTCCAAAATCAGCTTGTGGTTATGTTGAATATGGATATTTATCTTGGCGAAGGATTTGAAATGTTAAATAAAACATTTCTAGTAGAATATAATACATCTTACGTCTTGACACGCCATGGCCGTCAGGAAAAAATGTGTAATATGGCCGGTAGACCGGGATATTGTGGAGTAAGCTTTATCGGTTCACACGATGCCTATATTTTTGTGCTAACACAACCTTTAGAAGAGTCTGTTCTGGTGGAGTTGGATTATTATATGAATGTCTATGGGGCGGAAAACAAACTGGTTTGGGTATTAAGGAACAAGATGAAAAGGAGACTTCTCAATCCGTGTAAATACTTGAAGACATACCATAACCACTGTGTTGATATAATTGGCAATGCAAGAACACGAATAAATAGGAATGGGAAGAGTGGCGTTGTGGGACCTAGTGGGTTATATGAATGACATGAAGTGCTTGTAACTGTAAAGAACAATTCACTTCAAAAGGAAATAGTTTAGGTAAAAGCTTCTACTACGAACATAATTTTATTTATAGTACAGTGCATGTGTAATATAATAACGTTTTGGATTGGCTAACTCGATTCAGTACTGCACAAAAGGGAATTTTTGCCCTACGGCATCACTATATTACGAGGCTTTATTTAGGTAGTGTAGTGAATCGTTACATTGTTTCTAGTTCTTGTCACTATAATCAAATCGTTCTTTTTCGTTGTTATCTTTGTTTAGTTTTTCTTCGTTGTTCACTGTTCGTTTGTTCCTTGTCGTTTTCTAGTCGTGTTTGAGCTTCCGCAGCTTTTCATCCGTTAAGGTGGCTCGATATAGTTATTACAAAAACGCTGCTCAAGAATCGCGAATTCAAAACCGGGTGACAATTTTTACGCGCAGGTCGCGGAGATTGATTAACAAAATGAAAGAACTTCCAAAATGACCTGACGTGAGCAGTTGCTCGCGCCATATCAGCCATTGCGCGTGTTCCATAGCGTTTTATGTCAATTGCTGACGTCATTAGAATTTTCCATTTTAGATAAACAATGCGCTATATCTCTTTATTTTGTCTGGTGACCTATGTTCAAATTTTGCATGCTGTATTGCACTGCTAAAAACTTTCATTATACAAAAAATAAAAAAATTCTGTAATGCCAAAAAAATTTTACAGAAGATTATGAGATTTTCGCATTTTCCAAAAAAATGGCATTACAGAATTCTTTTATATCTTGCTAATTCTTTGCTTTTCGTCCAAGTAAAATAATGCGCAAAAAAAAATTGGGGGTCACCATGCTTCTTTTCCAACTATACGAGACGATAGGCCATTTTGGAGTGAATTTCATACACGTATGTCGTCATAGCAACGGACTATCTGTTATTAAAACTAATATAATTTGAAAGTAGAGATATCAAAATATATAAGAAACCCGAATAGCTGCTGAATAAATCCTAAAAATGCGTAGTTTGAACATGTCAAAGTGTTGAACACCTGTATTTCTGAAAACTGTATCGAAGCCACCTTAAGCTTTATTCAGCATACGTCCACTGTCGACTTTCACTGTGCACGCTCTTTTATTATACTAACGGTCGAGGGGATCTCCGTACATGTGATCTAGCAAGTGGGATGGTTCATATCCAACCAATCAACGTTGAGCTGCAGGAGCGTGGATTGGCGTCGTTAGCTCGTTCTAGCCCTCAAATTCTGTTTGTTACACTTGTCGAGTCGGTTCGCTGTTAAAGTGCATATGACATGAAATTTCTTATTTTCATAAATGCAAGAACTCTTTAAGCTGTAGTGTAACTTATTTTTCAGTTTCTTATTTTTATGGTTTGTTCCCGAGATATTTCAATTTGTTTGATATGTAAATGAGTGTGAATATGTCCGCTAATTTATGACGTCATGTTGGTTGCAAGCTCTTCAAAATGGTTGAATATCACTGCTATCATCCAACTGATGATAATTTCAAACTTCAGTCACTGGTAAATGTGATGAAACACTGGAAACCATTTACTAAATGAGATACAGAAATTACACAACACAAAATCACAAGCGACTGTGCGGGTCTTATTACCAATTCCTAATTTACAATATCGCGGCCGATGGTCAAATCCGACCCCAGTGCCTTTTTTAAGGAATTTTCACTGGGGGGGGGGGGCAAAACAGGAAAAAAGGCAGAACGAAAAATATGAGCCGTCGAGGTTTGGCTAACGCGCGAGTCCGAAGAGAGATTTTGTAAAACTTTAATTTATTAACTTCAGCTATATTTTACTTTAAACAATAACTTCTTTGTAGCTGCTATAACCATTGGCGTAGCCAAACCTTAATTTTTGGGGGGGAGGGAGACTGTCTAGGGGGGTCTGGGGGCATGCGCCCCCGGGAAAATTTTGAAATCTAGGTTCCCTGAATTGCGATTTCAAGCATTTTGAAGG